TCATGAATAGTGTCTATAATTTTTTGAAATGAATATAGATGTGTACATAGATGATTTATAGTATAAAATCTATTTTGTTATTTATTACTGATAGATGATATAAAATAGTTCTGATAATTATTTATTTAAAGAATAAATTAATATTTTTTTCAATTTAGATTCTAAGGCATCACACAGCACATGACGCAAGGCACAAATGGTGCACAATATTTTGTTAACATGTTATAAATTTCAAATTATAAATTATAAATAATTTTTTTTAGGTTTATATATTAATTTAATAATTAACTATTAATTAATTAAATATCAAATGAATAAAATATTAAAAATTTAAAGGATTTAAAGCTATCATTTTTGCTATTTGGCGGGATTTAGACTAAATTATGCTTAAACCCTACTCAAATCTATTGATGTGAGTTTTTGTAGTATTTAAAATTGACATTTTTGTTGTTTAACAGGATATTTATGCTTAAAGTTTATTTTAATCAACCTATTGTTTGTTATTTAATGGTATTTAATATTAATAAATATATATTTATTATTTTATATTGTGCACCATATTTAAAATAGCACGTGTCGTGCTGTTCGCTATGCACCATGGCTCCACGAGGAACTTTGCACCGTGGTGCACCATTCACCATTGACAAGTATGAACGAGCCTAAGATTGCTTGATTTTCACATCATTAAGACTTAAATGTTTAAGAAATGGTATAAGACCGAGGGAATCAATAAAGGCTATCGGATATAGTGTTTTAGATTTTGGTTATATTTATGGGGCGTGTTATTTTAAAAAATTTATAAACAGAACATTACTCTCTACATGAAGAGGAGCTTAGAGTCTGAGCTTGAACTTGAGCTTAAGATTTAAGAGAGCATAGAGGCTCTAAGGATTTCAGAGCACCACCGCCAAATCATCATCTAAAAGTCAACAAACCACTGATCAACCACTATCGTTGAAACAACACCTGCCGTCGTAGTTGGACAACCACATGATCGTCACCATTGGAACACTGCCATTGAACCACCACCATTGGAACATCAACTGACCAGTGTCATTGAACCACTACCTGAACGCCACCATTGGAAAACTATCCAACCTTCAATAAACCATCACCTGATTATAGATCTTAAATTTCAGCCAAATTTAAGATGTCCTAACCATAGGAAAACAAACTATTTAATACATACAATCCAAAAGGAAATCTCTAAACAATCTCTACATTCCAATTTCCCTCCTAAACTTCTCCTAAAACCTTCCTAATCTACTCTTTTGAACTAGGCGGTTTGATCAGCATATGCAAGAGGCGGAACTTCTCCGCCCCTGTTGTCTGTAAGCCAGTCCTGTATGGACCGAACTAATAAATTAATAGGTAGAAAACAAAAAAATTTGATCACTTTTTCAAAATTTGAAAGTTCTCTACCTAATGCATGCAGGGATGTCACTATTTGAGTAAATCTAGTGTACATGTGTGAGATGGTTTCATTAGATTTCATGCAAAAGAATTTATAACATGCAATAAAATGTTTAATTTAGATTATTTGACCTCACTAGTACATTCATATGTAATACATAGTTTATCCCAAATGTCCTTGCTAGTGGTACAGGTAGAAACTCTCATGTTATCTTCAGAGTTCAGACTTAAGAGCATAGAAAAAATAGTTCAAATATTTTACATTTAATTGAGTTAAATTCGTATCCTCATTTCTCCATTCATTAAACGGTACTTCAGTTTTGATGCCATTAACAAAACGAAAGGGTGCAGAATAACCTTCTTGTACCAAAAGCCACATGTGAAAATCAATAGATTGCAAGAAAGTGGATATGTGAATTTTTCAAAAATCAAACAATCTATTATTAAATAAAGGTGGACGAGTTATAGAATAACCATTCACGATGTTTCTATAACCGAAATGTGCAATGGATCATTTTTCTCAAGGTTTTCTAAAAAGCTAATTGTGAGAACCGCTCTGATACCAATTGAATGTTTGATGTAGAATGTTAAACCTCAGTGAACTATCCCTAGGCACACCAAGAGGGGGAGTGAAATTGATTGTTTTTAAAAATTACTTTAACACAAAATAATTTTTGAGATTTTTTTAATACTTAAAAACAAGCAATATTATTCCCCGATGCGAAAGCAAATAAATGAAACAAGATTTATAACTATGGTGATGATGAGTTACTTTAATCAATATATCATCAAAAAAATAATTTTTAACATGCAATTTCCAAAAAATTAAAGCATCGAAAAATAAATTATAAAAGTAAAACTCGGAATGAATACACTGGAATTTTATAATAGTTCGGTCAAATAATGACCTACGTCCACTCCCCAGAGTACTCTCCGAGTATTGCACTAAAACTTTCGTATCTCACCTTTAGCCCCATCAACTAGGCGAAGAAGTCCTTATAATTTTTTTCACCAACCTGATGCGGCAGAGAACCTTGACCTCTTTTTCACCCTCCTGGTGAAGGCAAAGAACATAGCAATCATTTTTCACCCTCCTAGTAAAGATAGAAAACCTAGCAATCCTTTTTCACCCTCCACGTGAAGGAAAAAAACCTCGACGGTCTTCGAGCTGGTGATCTTCTTCCCAAAACCACCCAAAAAATCAAGCAAGACACTTGGATGAAATAAGAAAAAAGCTTGCTCGGAGCAACCGTGTGAAAACCCCTCACACTCATCCCTCACACACAAACTCTCCTTTATCCTTTACAACGCTCTTTAAGATCTCTTATCTAAGCTCTCTCTCTAGAAAATTCAACAACCAAAGACTTGAAACAAGTCTATTAAGGGAGCTTAAATAAAAGGCTTCAAAAAAAATCCTAATAATTCAATTTTGTCAACACTAGTCGTACAACACAATTCCAAATCATACAATACAATTAGTTCAAATAGCCATGTTAGTATTATACGAAGAATAAGGCGTTGTACAATCAGTTCAAGTATTTTATCTGATCATCCAGTATGATATAAAGCATCGCCTAGTATGATTAGTTCAATCGAATTGGATTATCATCATGTATGATTGACAGCAAATAATTTTCATCCCATATAAAGATTGGGTCGTACAATATGATTGGTCAAATCGTACAATACGATCTGACTAGATAAAGTTATCCAAATTCGATCCTTTAATTGCAGTAGTTTAGGCAAGATTTGCTGATATTGTACAATACAATATGTATCATATGGTATGATTAGTATAAATTTTGAATTTCAAAATATTGCCTAAAATATGATTTGGCAACTGAAATCTTGATATTAACTGATTGTCCTGTACAATCTAGATCGTATAATATGATGAGTTCAAATAGCTTTAATTATTTTAATTAGCCGTTATAATAATTTTTCTAATAGCTAATTGTACAGTACGATTAGTTCAAAAAATTACACTTCTAATTTTCACACTTTCTCACTCCCCTAAGTATGTGTCTGTACAGTCACCAAGTTTAGTATCCACCAAATACAAGACCTTAACTCAAGAAATGTATAAATAAATAAAAGTAAAAATATATACTCTTAAAGACAATTAAACCTATTCTACCCAGTATTAAGTTGATCACTTTGTGCGGTGTACGGCGGACCTAAAATGTTAGTGCACAAGAACAAATATTCAATAATAATAATAACAATAGATGACATAGTAGACAACCCAATAATATTTTTTATCTTCAGAATCACAAAATGTGGGTCCAGATTTGCGACACTATCACCATCAAACCTTTGTCACCCAACTATGAACCATTGACCACTGTCACCCGATTACGATCGTCCGGCCTCAGTCTCCTGACAAGGCCATCCGATTCCCATCGCCTAGCTAAGGAATCTGACCCTAGTCGCACAACTAAAGTCCTCCAATCATCTCAATCGATTATGATCCTCTAACCTCTATTGCCCAACTATGATCCTCCGACCACAGTCCACCGTCGCTTAAATATGATCCTCCAACTTATATCATGGCACCAAAATCTCTTGACTACATTACTTTATCCTAAAGCCTTCTTCTTATCATTGTCACCTAGCTACACTGACACCTGTTGGCTTCAACACCTATCATCGCTAACTTTCATGCTATTGTTTATAAGATCGATGCAAACCATCGACACGAACTCTAACTCCCAACATCAGTATGGAGGTTTTTGTTAGACTTATTAGTCTCTAGTCTCATCTCCTCGAAGCGGTAAGACCAAATAAACAAGAAAATGGCATCTTAAATCTAAATCCCATGGCTCAAGGTTCTCACAATTTTAACCACATAATATGTTATATGTATTATATATTTTCACATTGAATCAGTGTCTTCCCTAGAGGAAGAGCAACATTGCAATCAATAATAAACACTAATGAAATCATTTTAACTTGGACAAGCTCCATGGTTGTTTCATTTCATGGGTTTTACAAATAAGAAATCAGGTATCCTTACTAATCCTTTCTTATATGTGCATGTGTTGGATTTTTGGATAAAGTTACAATTTAAACTCATTATGTCTCTACTTTCATAAATATTCTGGCTCACAATATAGTGGAGTAAAATTTTCATATACAAATAAATAATGTTTTATTATTTTTTCAGTCTAGATAACCTTTAAACACATTTGTACAACCATAAGCTCTAAAACACATATGATTGAAAAATAAGGATGATCTACTAATTTTATGCTATTTGCAAGGAGATACCTTCAAGTGTACTGCAAAGCCAAGCATGCCATTATATTTCACAGCATTTCCAAGCTATGTTTTGTATGTTAGACTTTATCTTTTAAGCATCATGAATTTCAAACCGCATAATGCTAAGTTGTTATAGATTGAGTGACAATTATCATTTCCCTGGCAAAAGCATGTATTAATGCATTCAAAATGGAAAGTTCTCCAATTCAGAAACGGATCAAAGGTAACTTGTGCAAGAAACCACCGGGTATGCAAAGGCAACAAAATAAGATATTTATGCTTTTAAAAGTTTACTTGGGTAAGCAGACTACGGACAATTTACTTACTTGCAGTATCTGGCACAGAGTCCTCAACCATAGGAGCCGACTTCATGCTCCAGTCCACAAGAGAGTAAGCCTCCGGTACTCCAGTTACCCCCTTCTTCCTGACCATCTCCTTCCTTCCCTGGTACAGATCGACCTTCTTAGTGCCCGGCTCCTCCGTTACTTCTAAAATCACCTTCGATGCCACAGCCTGCTGCTTGCCACAATACCCTATTAACCCGGTCTTCTTCTGCTGCGCCGCCCAACCTTTCCCTTGCCTAATCGAAGTAGGGCTCGCGATCCACTTCTGCGCGTCATCCCACTTAGAAGGTGCCGGCTTCGAGAACGACGGCATGAGAACCGACCGATGATGCTGAGCACGCTCCGCTCTCTGGAACTCGAACCCCGACAACACGCTCTCTGTGTCCGGCGAATCTTCTTCCTGTGATGGAATCTTAGAACTCAGGCTCACAATTTCCACATCCTTGCAGTTCTCCACTGTGCTCGTACCTAACAAAACGAAACTTCAGCACAGATCAGGCTATAGAGCTCACACGAAGCAAATCAATAAAGATGCATTGAGATCTCACGCCGGTTCTCTGCCTCTCCGATGTCAGATGTTAGGGAAAACCTCGCCTCGAGCTCCTCCTTCTCAACCTGCCTCCTCTTTTCCACTCCGAGAAGCATGGCCCTGAGTTTACCAGGTGAAAACCCGCCACCCTGCAGCACGAAATAGGATGAGCTCGTCAGCGTCCAGGAAGAATGTACCAGCCGACAACAATGGCAGGAAATCAAACGGCAAACGGGAACCTCTCAGATCAAATATTGTTTTCTGTGATAGCATTGGGTAAAGAGAAAGCTGAGATCGGAGGTGTGTGTCCGAGAAACAGAGAAGATTGGAGGATTTTTACCGTTGGTGAATGTTGCTCAATCCGTTCGTAGTCCATTGGGAATTGAGAGACTTTCAACCTCCGCAAGCAACTGGGAAGACAAGAAGGACAGCCGGAGATGGAAGTTCGAAGGTAACCTCGCCGCTGCTCACCGCCGCAATAGTGTGACCAGTGTAGAATTATTACTAATACAATGAACGGAATACCATGGACATTCGTTTCCTGGATATTACAATGATGCCATTGCTGAAGCCGTTGGTCAAATCTATGGTCTGACCGGTCGACCTGTTGCTACTTGGATGAATATGCTGTCCTTGCACGCCTGTAAGGCGTGAAGTTTATATTGATTTTATCAAATTTAAGGGTAACAATATCGCGCTCTTCGATAAACACCTACACCTAACAGGATTTTGATCATTCCTCTTACCTGGACCATTACAAGTATATTAGTGTGGCGTGGCGCATGCGCGCATTGTAATTGGAATTGAGTTTATTCCAGTTGTTTGATAGATGTCCATAGTGGTGGATGCATGGAGCTGACATCTTGATCTGTGGTGTCAGATTTAAATTTATTTTATAGGCTACATCTGATTGTATTAATAAGTTTGGCAAATTAAAGCAAGAGAATCAATTAAGAAATTTAATAGGTGTGAAGAGTAAGTGAGAAGCTAAAAGTTTACTGTAGGGCTGTCAATTCCTGACACGACCCGCTAACCCGACCCGAAAAATCCGGGTTCGGGTCAACCCGTGAAAGAAACGGGTCGGGTCCGGGTTTAAGGATTTGACCCGTTTATATATTCGAATCGGATTCGGGTCAACCCGTCAACCCGCAGGTCGACCCGAATAACCCGCGAAGCATATAACGCGTTTACTCGTTTTAATAAAATGCGCGGCCGAGCCCGCGAGTTCGAGAGTCGAGACGGTTCTAGGGTTTCATTTCTCGGTTTCTCCTCGCTCTCACGCTCTGGCATTGGGGTGGAGCCGTGGAGGCGTGGAATCGTGGAGGAGCTGATGGAGGTTCTTCACTTCTTGATATCTTCTTCTGATCTTCTGAAACATCTGTGATCTGGCTTCAGAATTCTTCCTTGAATCCTCTTCCTTTCTCCATTTCTCAGTTGCGACTTGACACGGTTGGTAATATCTTGAATAACTCTTAAATCTTTAATATTTGAAGTGTTGGTTTGATACTTTGATGGTGGTCGGTTGTTTCGATTTCTATTTTAT